GAAGGGGGAGAGGGATTTACAAGTGTGCGACGAACGTTTTGGAAATGAAAATTATCATGGGATTTGAATTGGTGTAAAAGTCGCCGAAAGCTATGTCAGAAGGTCTCAGCGGGGTTAACCGTTAGCCATAAAACGGCCAAACACTTTGTCTGTTTGCCGTAAAAATTGACAAATTTTTAATCGTTAGTCGTAAAAAAAAGTTAACCTTAAAAATGAATTTCTGCTGATAGCAATGCAATGATATGAACCGATAGCCGTAAAATGGCCAAATTTAACCGGTAGCCGTAAAAGTCATCCATCCCATTGAGATACTCATCGTAAAATTGGCTGACCATTGGGAACATGGCAGCGCAGAGTGGTTTCCTCATATCATGACGACTTGCAATTGTTCTCCACCGCCATGGGGAGAATCCACAACTGAGTACATTCAATCCTTGAAAGGAAACAATCATAGCTCCATTGATTAGCATTCCATTTTATGTTTTGAATATATTATCTGCATTTTTCACAAAATTAAGCAAATCCACTCACAATTTCCTTTAGCAAAAAGAAATTAATCTCTTCATCGGTATCAGATCCTTAATTTGCACATTTCCCTATTCGCACTATATCATATTCAGACAAAAGATTATAAACTCTTGTTGCAAAGTAAAACATTCTTACAAAAGAAGGCGTCAGCTTTATTATTATTATTATTACCGATGATTTTAAAATAACACTGGTGTCTTCCTCTTCCTTTTTGCCTGAGGGGTAATCCTCTCAATTAAAAAGAGCACTTCCATTGTTCTTTCAGTAATCACACGAGTCTTCATTCTCTGCAGGGGGTGATTTCAGTGAAAAACTTTTAAGTCTTAATAAATTTATTTATCAAAATTGTCAACTTTGTATCACAAGCTAAAATTGTTTTTCTAAGACTGAATTTTATGTGTAAGAAATTCACTTTTCAAACTAGAGATGTAGAGGAAGATATGTGAAGATTGCCATTTAATCATTGTTTGCCGTTACAAAAGTGGTCATTTTTTAATCACGATAATAAGCGTTGGTGGACAAATAGAGTTTTCGTTTCCCAAACAGGCAAGCATCTCCGTTCGGTGTTCACAGAAATAAACAAGATATGGAATAAAACCCGATGTAATGTGATCAACATTGAGGGAGGATCCTCCAGTCGATTTTAACTTTTAAGGGCAATAACAATAACTTCATTAGCATTCCTTTTACATTCACAATACAAAGTTTTATCTCTTCATTATTATCTAATCCTTGCTTTACGCATTTCTCTATCAATTTTGAAATTTCAAATATAAAGTAACATAGTATCTTACAAACACAGACATTTTGAAACGTAATTTGAGGCAGATAAAACCAAAA